CCCCCGCCCAAAAAAAAATTAAATCTGGTTCCTGGTCTAAAAGGGCATGTTGGAGGGAAGTAAGGGAGATATGTTATAATCTTTTCAGGACATAACTTGTGGTTGGATTTTTGATAGTTATACAAAAAAAATAGTTATTTTGATGTCTAAAAGAAATACTGCACTATTTTCCTTTAAATCACCCAACTTTGTATTTTTTTTTAATATTTGCCAAGTAGCAAGGGCTAAAATAGACATTTTTTTTTAACCCCAAAAAATAGCTTAAAACCTTTAGAGTCACTTTAATGGATTGTGATTCCATATGCAGGATAAAGACAGTGAGAAGCCCATATCAGTGGTAAAGACACTAGAAATAGGAGGTTGTTTCTCTGCTGAGTTACCCAGGTTTAGCCTGGTTGCCACAAGGCTGGAGCTAGTAAGACACAACTAAACTTATATGAAATCCTTTATATTTCACTTAATGAGTTTAATACAGTTGTGGTGCACTTTTTTACATGTAGTTCTATAGACAACATTATGGTTGTGATATCAGGGACACCCACAATGTCAGCATTCAGGTAGTCTGTATATACTTCTGTCATGTACCAACACTTATACTTTATCCAAATACTCTGTAACTACCTTTATCTATATGATACCAATTTTTTACTGCTCCCACTACAAGCCACAGTTCATTAAATGAGCAATCATACAGTGTTCTATTTTCCTTGCTCTACCTCTATGTATTGCCATACCCTTTTCAGTGAAATGTATAAGAATTTGGGCTGGAGGCAGTATTGATTTGTCCATAGCTCACTCTCTCTTCTCTCTTTTTTTTTTTTTTTCTCTGATTTATGTTCCTCAACTCTACAATAAATAAAAAAAAAAACAGCCAAATACTAACATTATTAGATATAACCCTGCAATCACCTTTTGGGTTGGTTCCCCCCTGCCAAACAGAGTATGAGGTCAAGGCACAGAAAGGTTGAAAGCTGCAGCCCTGCTAAATGAACGTCTAATCCTACACAAGTGAAACGGCTTCCTTTCTCCCACACATATATACTGTGCCCTTGTCTAAATATTTGAAGATGCTTTATAAGTGTTAGTTAGGCTTGGTATTAGTGTCTGTTATGGAGACACCATTGATTTAATAAGAAATGGAACTAATCTTGAGGGCAGTGTTTTGGGGACCATTTTGCTGTTAAAACTAGTTTTATATTAAAACACAAGAAAAAGCAATGCAGCAAATAAAGATAACCTGCCCTTGCCATAAAACAGCAATGGTGTATCCATACTGGCATAAATGAAATGGTTTGCACCAAATTGTAATGAATCCTGTAGAAATTGTAGAAACTGTATAACAAATTACAAGTCAAATCAGTGAACTGCATTGTCATAAGCCTATGGCATCTCATAATAAGTAGTAACTAAAAACTAAAAAGTAACTAAAGTTATGGAGTAATTTTAGGTCTCTTAACAATATTATGTCCATTTGAAAAAAAATACTGATTTTTTACATATCAGTGAAATTAGGTGAATTTGGTTGCAAGTTTTAAAGGAATAACTCTGTTGCCTTCATCTTCTTAAAGTAAGGCTTTAGGAGTATAAGCTTTATAACTATGTACAATGGTACAGCTGTGATTCACTCCCCAGTTTGTGGATGGTGGATCACATCCTATAGTGTCCTGATCCCACACCAATTGAAGCATCAAAATCTGTCAGCTTCTGGCATACTTGTTTCTGTGGGAAGGAAGGGCTTGGGCAAGTCCTCTGTTGAAGCAACTGGAGGACAGGGATCCTTATGCATTGTACAGCATTCACTTGCTACAACACTGTATTTTCACATGACCACTTCCCAAAGCCTTTCAAACTTTCCTTTGTCATTTTCATCAAACATTCCTGATGTAATTTTCTCAGCTGGATGTGGAAGCTAGCTCTGCAAATCTGATTAGCACTACATATCATACCAGACACATTTCAGAAAATCACCTATGCAAATTCTGCTTTCTGGTTTTCTACATCAGAGTCTAGATTTGATGCCATATCCTCCCTGTGCCACTGTAACCCATTTTACCAGAAGGATCAGTTCCTCTCTAGCATTTCTCAAAAACCTGTCCATATAGCTGGAAACAAGACCTCTGCCTTTGATCCTAGAGATAACTCCTACTACATTCTTTTCCAGATTCTCAGAGTCTGTTTGCCTTGACAAGTAGACTATCACCTCAGCCCGCTTCACACTGCTCCTGCTATCACTAAATATCCTCTAGGCTCACTTAGTTCAGCTGCTCTTAGTGCTCATTTTCTGTGCATAGAATTTCCTTGGACACAGGCTGGCTGTGCTTGTCATCTGTTCCTCACTTCTGGTGAATCCTGTTGAGACACAGCCTAAAACCCCTCATAGGGTACAGATGTTGTCTTCTAGGAGCCAGGCTCACAATTTAGTGTTCTCTCCACAGCGCATAGCCCTAAATCCCTCGGGAGCTTAAACACATTCCTTCCCACAGAATCACAAAGTGCATGAATTCTCCAGAAACAGAATGGCTCTGAAAAAGATTTCTCATCACAGCACACTTTTTCCTCTGAAAAGAAACTGGCATTTATAGTTCTCCAGGAAAAAAAAAAAATAAATAAAGGAAGAAAAAAAGGAAAAAAGGTGCACAGCTCATAAACCAAAAAACCTTTATCCAGACTCACCGTTGTTAATCTTGTCAGACATTCCACATACAATGAAGAAAAAACCCCAGATATTTTCTTTTATTACTGTCCTCCTGATACACCACATATTGTTACTTGTAGAGAACACTAAATTTTCAAGTCCTGTTAGAGCTCTTC